GAAGATAGAACTTTGTTGATTCGAAAAAAAATTGAATTTCGGTAAGCTTATGGCCACTAGGCGATTCACCGCCAATAAAAATGTAAAATGTAGCGTAGCGAAAAACGAAAACGTATTCATAGTGGAAAATATTTTATTAATCCACGCTGACTTATACGCTGAAATTTTAATAAATTAGTCAACAAAGGTAAAATTTTTGTAATGAGAAGTAATAGTCTATCGCTAATCCGTGAAATGAATTCAATTCAACTTTATTCATTAATAGAATATGTCATAACCAACCAATATTTTGCACATCTCAATTAATGATAATAAGCGAGTGATATTTAAAAGAAGAGAACCAACCATCAGAAGTTTCATTCTTTAGTAACTGAAGCAAAACAATGGTCACTTGTTGAGTATAGGTCATGAAGTTACAAATAATAAGTTGTGATGTGATAAGGATGAATGCGCGATTGTAAAGATTTTCTCGACTACAGAATACGATCGCCAGCAATATGTTGCCAACAATACCGTACAACAACAGTAGAGAAAACAGTACAGCTGCCACATATTTTTCCACCGTATTTTGTTCGTCTCTTATGTCGAACATATTCGTCATATTACCTTCGTGACAGTTTAAAGGTAATATTAGAAATAATGCAGTAATATAGCAAGAACGAGCCAACATTTTGCTCATCGACAATCTTTTTCGAAAACGTTCTATTTCGGCTCACTTTGGTTATGGTGTGACATCAGTTTCAATTAGTTAGAAGTTTCGATGTCTGAAATATCAACGTCATACATTTGTACTATAATTGCATGACAAGAATTTCAATCACCATGGAGAATGTGTTAATTTAATGAAAATATGAATTTAAATGCGAAATAATGTTCTTGTTTTAGTGCACTATCTGTCGGAAAACCCGAGAAAATTTGCAATGCGTTAAAACAATCAAAGTATCACAAATTTGCATCCTAAATATTCCTTATTTAGATCACTTTTGGATAATGGTTTATTATACAAATATTACAATTGAATTTTTAACGTATTAAATGATGGGTCATTT